CATCTCCACCATTCCATTTCTGCTGCATGCTGCTAGTATAGAAAGAAATGTGATTGAATCAGGTCTTACCCCTTCTCTCTGCATCTCCTTGAACAATTCTATCACTGAGTCAATTGTCTCCATGCCCAGCATATGCAGATATTATTGCAGTCCAAGCAAACTGACTTTTATGAGGCGTCTCACTGAAAACTCTTTTGGACTCACAAATGCTTCCTCGCTTTGCATACATATCAAGAAGAGCACCTGCGATAATTGGGCCAGTCACTAATCCAAGTTTGATCAAGGAAGAGTGGCATCATTGGCCATATTTCAGAGAAATATCCTGAGCATCACCAATTGCACTCAAGACACTACCAAATGTGTAATTGTTTGGCTTCGACTCCATAGTTGCTACCAAGAATGTTTTTAGTGCATCTTGACACAGCCCGTTCTGAGCATACCCTGAAATCAAAGCATTCCACGATATGATTTCTCTGCAGTTTAACACCTCAAAAACTTTGATGGAGTCAGGCATGGACTCGAACTTTGCATACATGGTGATCAAGCTGTTGCAAACATCATGCTTTGATAAAAAGCCAGTCTTTATGCAAAACCCATGAATCATTTCACCTTCCTCCACCAACTTCCTAATTGATATAGCATGGATTAGTCCAATAAATGTAACATCATTTGGATATACACCATCCAATCTCATCTCATTAAATAGAGAGATGGCATCTTCTTCGTCTATAGAAATCATAGTTGTCCAAGACACTACGTTGCGATCATTCATGCACTGAAAGACTAATTTTACATCTTCAATAACCTCACACTTTGAATATGTCGAGATCAATACATTACAAACTGAAACATGACTTCCATATCCTGATTTAATTGTCAAGCCATATGTATCTGTTTCCCAAGTTCTAAATTCATTTCATGACCACAAGCTGAAACTGCACTAGTAAATGAGAAATGATATAACCCCATCCCTTCTCCCACCATCTCAATAAAGACAAAAAACACCTCAAGCCCATGATTTCCCTCTTGAGAGTAACCTGATAGTAATATTGCATTCCATGAAACCAGATCCTTATTCGCCATTTCATCAAACACGCTCCTAGCTTCTACTAACCGCCTCTACCTCGAATACATACTTATAAGTGCATTTCCAACAACAACTTCACCATCTAAACCAGACTTAAATATAAGAGAATGCAGTTGTAATCCAAATCGAAAATCTTCATGATCTGCACAAAAAGCAAGAATCGTAGTATAAGTCACTGGATAAAAAACAACTCCATTAAAATTCATCTTAAGAGCAAAATTCAATGCACCCTCACTTGTTCGAAACCCCGAAAGAGAATAGTATTCCAAGAAACTATATCAGTATAACACAGTCTAAAAGATAAGTAAGGGACCATCAAACTGTCCAGCTTTGGTGTACATTCTCATCAAATAATTTGAAACCGTAGTATACGAAGCAAACCCAGAAGAAACTGCAAACCCCGTGAATTTGGCATCCGGGTTTGGGGTCCCCTTGACAACAAGGGTAATGGTAACTTCATCGATGTTATGAGACAAATGTAGTTGAAGTTGCTTACAGAACATGTCAAGGGCTCTAAGGGTAATGGTAACTTCATCGTGTTCGTTTCTCTGTCTCTTCATTTCACTCGCGCACCACATTCCTCTGCGAGTGCAAGCTTTGTCTGTCTTCATTTGGAACAAAAAGTAGGCGCCCAGACCCTGCCAGGCCGCCTAGAACCGCCCAGGCCACCTAGGCGCCTCCTAGAATCGCTCAGGCCGCCTAGACCAGCCCAGGCCGCCTAGATCCGCCCAGGCGCCGCCGAACTCCCTTATAGCATCAGAGTTGTTATCTTAGTGGAGATTTCAATAGCTGAATGACATTTGATGGTTTTTGTAGAGAGAGTCCAATCCAATCCAATCAATGCAGCAGTCAAAACGAAAGAAAAAAAAAATCGAAGCTGGAGTTGAGAGAGAGAAGCGAAATGGCTGGGATGGGAGGGCAAGCTTCGCGTTCGTTTTTGAATATATTTAAAGAGTATAGCCGCTCGGCTATACCTTGGAAATAATATATTTAAATAGTATAGCCGCGCGGCTACTATTTAAATATACAATTTTGTCATGTTATTTTAAAATACCACTTTAGCTAATTTGAATAGAGTTTTTTCTTCAATTATTTTTTTTATACCAGTGATATTAGGGAATGAGAATTTAAATTATTTCCAATACCTCCCATTCTAATGATTTCCAGCTATTAGTCCATTAGGCAAGAATTAAAAATGGATTTTCTTTATAAGAAATAATATGAGTTAAACCCATAAATACAACAACAAAAAATAGGAATCCACCAACATTTTGGGGATAAAAGAATCTTGAATAATGCTAGCTGTAGAATGTAATAATATAAACAAGGCAGAATGCCCAATTCGCACTAGCACTCGTCTTTTATTCTAGGCAAGTACTACTACTAAGAAGTCAGAATTGTAACTACTAAGAAGAATACCTGCACGACCATTTGCAGAAGATGCATGCAAGTAATTGAGCTTGAAATCATATACAATTCTGTCAGATTATTTTAGGGTTTAGGGCTAAAATACCACTTTAGCTAATTAGGATAGAATTATTTCTTCAAATTTTTTTTTTTTTTATACCAGTGATATTGGGGAATGAGAATTTAAATTCTTTCTGATACCTCTCATTCTAATGATTTCCAGCTATTAATCCATTAGGCAAGAATTAAAAATGGATTTTATTTATAAGAAATAATACGAGTTAAACCCATAAATACAACAACAAAAAATAGGGTTCCACCAACAAAAAATATATAAGCATACAAAAATTGAATAAAATAGCTAGAGAGAGAGAGACCTGGAAAGAAATGTGGTTATCCTTAGGGTTAATCTGGGTGATCTTCTTGGGGCATTTATCAGGGTCTTTAGATTGGAGAAGATGTATAACAATGCCATAATTGAATAGCCTATGATTCAAATGTCACAGAATTAACCAAAAACCAAATTAATACTCAATATTTACAATGTTTCAAAAACAGAGTAAACCAATTCAATAAAAATGAAGGGTGGTTGTTGTTGGTTTTCCAAGTTTTTAAGAATTATACCATGCACCATTAAAGTCAAAGGAGCCAGGCCTCCTAATTGGGAAGAACCCAAGAACACTCTGGTAGAAATCAAGGGATTTCTCAACTGATCTGCACACACCAATGAGATGTGATTCAAGGACTTCAAATGCAGCATGCTTTCTTTCATCATTTCATAACACTCTATTTCTCAACTTGGAAATATTACGTGCAATAAGCAAATAGAGAGAACTGGATTGAAGGCTACATATTAGGGTTTAAAATAAATAGAGTTGAGAGGAGAAAATGGCGGAATGTTGCATACATATATGGCATGGGTTTTCTGTCTTTTTCATCTCAGGTGACAGCCTGACAGGTCAGGTTTCAGATTGTGAGATATCTATTACACGTAGGTTCCACGTTACGTTGGTGACTCCATTACTCGTTTCTTCTGCTGACACGTAAGGTCCTTCTGATTCCGAAGACCTTTTACTCCAACCAAGTTGCAGTTGCAGAGATTAATATCCTTTTTCACAGGTCAAACTAGTTTTAAGAAGGAAGAATCTAGAGCGACTGATAGCCAATAAGCCCATCTCTGATTCTGAAGTATCGTAGAGAGTACAAGGCAGAGACCAAGTCATGGCCGAGTCTCCCGCTGTCTTCATTTGGAAAAAAAAAAAAGGACACGACCAGCCCTGGCTCCCAGACCCGCCTAGACCCGACAAGGCCGCCTAGTCACCGCCTAGATCCGCCCGGACCGCCTAGGCGCCACCTAGATCCTCCCAGGCCGCCCAGATCCGCCCAGGCCGCCTAACTACGAGTTCGAGTCTCTATCCGTGGCTACCATAGCGTCCAATTTACGTATGTTTCTGATTTTGCAATTTTTTTTTATTGTTTAATGGAAAGACGATTATTAGAGAGTTTCTTCTAAGGATTTTAAGATTTTATAGCATCAGAGTTGTTATCTTAGGGGAGATTTCAATAGCTGAATGACATTTGTGGTTTTCATAGAGAGAGTCCAATCCAATCCAATCAATGCAACAGCCGAAACGAAAGAAAAAAAATCGAAGCTTGAGTTGAGAGAGAGAGAGAGGCTCAAGACAGAATCTGTGCAAGCTTGGTGTTTAAAACGTATAGCCGGGTGGCTATTCCTTTAAAATAATATATTTAAAGAGTATAGCCGTGCGGCTATACCTTTAAAATAATTATTTAATGCGTACAGCCGGCGGCGGTACCTTCAAAATAATATATTTTACAAGTATAGCCGTCCGGCGATACTCTTAAAAT